TGTAATATGATAGCATTTTTTCTCTTAAGACAAATAATAGAAAAGTATAAAGAACAAAAAATTATTTTTTATATACTTTTTATTGATCTTGAGAGTGTATATGATTGAATATTGTGAAAATTGCTTTGATTCACATTAATGAAGAGATGTTTGTGCTAAAGCTATGTTAAAAGTTATTTTTAAGATATGCTTGATGAAGACTGACTAATTTTAGAAGTGGTTGAGGTGACCTAAGACTTTTTAATTATAGCAGGATTATAATAACATATAGAAAAATAAATTTAATCTATCAAGATTAAAATTCTCTCATAAGATTATGAAAAAGCATAATTCAACATAATTTTGTAAACTAATGAGAAATTTGGCCAAAATTAAATATTTTCTAAAATTGCTTTAAAAATGGTCTAATTTAGCTATTTTAGACCCTTATTAGACTCTTTTGGTTAGTCTATAAAAAAATAGTCTTTTTGGATTATATTAATTTAATTGTATTTCATAAACTTACTTGACTAGCAAATAACTCGTTTCTAAAGAGTTTGCAGGAGGCAGGCAATATTGAGGTGGCATCACTAGATAAGGTGATGAAGAAAGGGGCATGCAATATAGGGAACATCAAAATGTGGAAGTCCAAGGAATACACATATCTTGATGCTTGGTTGTTGAGTGGATCCAAACTTTATATATTTGTGAAACTCTACAATTTGGAACAACATTGGAGTGGATAATGATGGTGGTAGTGGCATGACAAACTTGAATATTGGTAGGTGTGGTTGAAGCAAATTATAATTATTGGAAGTGGTGTATGCTTCCAAGATAATATTAAGTGAATTGGAGAAGGAATCACTTCCATTAGTTGGAGAATATCAAGTGAACCGGAGAGGGCACTTATAGAAGTTGGAAAGTATCAATTTTGGGTTGTTGTACATCAAAATGTTTATCTTTTCAAGAATCTATAGAAAGCATTCTCTCCTGAAAAGAATATTTTTCATGTTAAATGACTTCATCAAACATATGTTCTCACTTAATTTCCAATAATATCTTAAACTTAATCTCAAACATAATAGTAAACTTAGGTATTAACTATTCTTAATGAACCAATGTGGTAGAGTTGCATGAGATTGGAGGGAAAAGCCTTTGAAGGATGTATATGCAAGCTTATCACTAGATGAATTTGTAGAGGATAACTTTTAAAACCTTTGAAGATGAGGAATTCTATTGAAATGGACAAGGTTCTGATATTTGTGGGGGCTAAAGGAATATATTAAATTTATGTTTTAAAATTGCTTGTGATTGAAAGGAAAAACCTTTAAGATGTTTATGCAAAGGTTATCACTAGATGAATTGATATAGGATAACTTGTGAAACCTTTGAAGATGAGGATGAGATAGATCATCATAGTTGTAAATGAAGTTGATTTATGTAATCTTTAAAGGAAATAATTAGGATAATCATAATCATCATCATCATAACTTTTGCACTTTATTAAGAGAATGAGTATCATAGATATCATATGCATGCAAGGAGATCTGAAAGGATATGTAAGACATCCAAAGCATAATTTTTTTGGTAAGTAAATATGAGAATGATAAAGTGGGTTTTAATAATATGATATCATTAAAACATATGAAGTGGAGAGAATATAGTAGTAAAGAGAAATGTTAAAGTCTTTATTGGTGGCTATAATTATATTTAGGAGGAAAAAGTATGACCAATAAGGAGATTCAGAGAATTTTTTTTGTACTTGATGTCTATTTGTTGAAGCTGGTGAGGATGGTAGCAGGCTACCTTGTTGTGTGATGATGAGGAGATTGACAGTGATATCTTTGGTTTAAGTTGGTCTCAAAAGATGACTAAAGATATGTAATTGTTAGGAGATCTTTGGTTCACAATGTGAAATTTTCAAGGTACATGGAGAGGACATCATAGAGGTATGTAACATTCATAAAAGTAGAGGCTAGTGGTTAGACATTGTGGAGATTGCAATAAGACCTTCTTGGTTTTTCTTGTTTGGATGTGGCTACGATCACTAGGTGGTCTGAGTGTGAATCAGGACGCCTATGACTGAACAAACACATGAGTGGTGCACATAGAATTGTTGAAGTTGAGCGTTGATGCAAGTTATGAGGAAATAAGCTCAAATTGGATTTATGCTATCTGAGTGTGAATCAAAGGGTAGTAATGACCTTTCTTTATTAGATTTAAACGAGAATTTGACTTTTAATAGGACACAATGGAGAAAAAGGATTCATGTAGCCGACCCCACGTAGTGGGATAAAGGCTTGATGTTGTTGTTGTTGTTGTTGAGATCGTGAAGTCATGGAGAAGAGTAAACATGAATGGGGCTTTATGAGATGTGATATTGTCAAAAATTGAGGTTTAACAAGAGAAAATGTTATTGAATTGAGTGTAAGATATAGTTAGGTTTATAGGAATTTAGAACTTATGGAATAGAAACTGAAATCGAGGATGGAGAATCAACAAGTGTGTATGAAATTTAAGAGAGGGGTTTAAATTGGCTCTAATACAAAATTCATGTAGTTGTGAAGAGAAAGAGGAGAATCTCTACATACATAACCTAGATCAAGAGATAACACAAATAGTCTTGAAAATCAATTCATTAATCTAATGTCAAATGTCAATCATTTTAACCAATGATATGAATACAAGCCATGGATCTTTATTTGTAGAAATATGATTCCAAATATAAGATCAAATATTATGAAATCATATTTAAAGATGATCTAATACAATAAAGCTAATAAAAAATATGCTAAATTTTAGCAAAATTATATATGATTTTAAAAGGGATTGAGAATTGGTATGATTTAAGTATTTAACTTCTTAGTATCTCAATTTGATTCTTTTTGACTGGTCTTAAAATTAGTCATTTTTGGGCCAGCTCTATGATATTAATATGTATTAATCAATATTATTAGAAGATAAGTGCTAAATTGGTATAATATGTTTAAATGTATTGGATCTATTATTTTAGGAAGGAGAATCTAATTTCTAATGTTAATTTATATGGTTAAAATGGAGTACTTCTAGGGTATTATGCAATTAGTGGATATCATGAAAAGTTAAAATAAATTTCTTAAAATTATAATTAGGTTGATGATGTTGTATGATTCGAGATGTTGTGGAGAGAAAAAAAATGTCATTGATAGCTACCAAAATAGCATTCAAATGTGAGAATATTAAAATGGATGTGTGGCTAAATTAAGAAATAATTATATTAGAATTGCAAAAAAAATTTGGGCCCATTGGTTGCTTTAAGTTAGATAATATTTTTTGAGAAAATTTTAAATATGCTAAATAAGTCGGTTGGATCTCCATGTAGTGGGATAAATGTTTGATTCTATAGTTGTAGTTTCAAAATTGCATCGAAACTTTACAAACCATCTCAACCATTTGCAAATGCAAGTTTTCATTTTCACATACAAATCCATGAAAGCAAAATCACTACTTTTGGAAACATCATTCTTCATTGAAAAACAACCAGGTTCTTAGTGGTTTGGATATGAATGATACAATGTACACTCATTTGGCGAATAAAAAAGTTGGAGGTTTAGGCATTGGATTGGCTATAATTCTATGGTAATATGAAGAAAAGTTGTTCCAAATGTTTTGAGAAGGATAGTTTAACACCCCCGGTAATACTTACGAAGAATGAATGGAAGATTCATAAAGCCGACTTGATACAAGTTGCCTTAGGGTCTAAACTCTAGGATTTATTATCATAAATCTAGGATGCGATGCAAAAAAAAAAAAAAACACAAATGACTAGAATTCATAGATCCCAAACTTTGAGCCTAAGCAAAGATTACTCACCTTAGATGCAAAATAAGAAAACCCACTTTATTCATTCCAAACGACAATTTAAAAGTTGGTACAATATCAAATTTCGCAAAAAAAAATCGGCGAACAATCATAAAATTCTACGACCGTTAAATGAAAACTAGTATGTATCAAAGATTATGTATAAATTAGCGCTGTACAACTAAGATTGTATCAAACCTGACATAATCTTAATCTAGCACACACATCAATCATTAAGCAATTAAAAAAGTGAAAAATGATAGAAATCATCAATTGGAAAATCTAAACCTCTTGTTAATACAAGGGAACTTGAGGATCACTTAGTTACTTGAATTTAGAAATCTTATTTTGAAAAATTATGAAGTTTGTTAAATTCATTATTTGGTTAGATGTAGTTAGACAATAAAATTGATTTAAATGCCACATATCTTCTTAAAATTTTCTCATAACTGATGATTTCATTCTCACACTTGCAGTGCGTGAAAATGAAATCTTAGTTTTCTAAAACACATTTTCTATTCTCATGCAACAAAAGCTGCCTTAAATATATTTTAATATGTCCAATAAATAATAGAAAATGCACTCATTATATATTTAAATAAAATTATGTCAAAGCATTAGGAAGAAAAAAAACGATAGGACAGAATGAATGAAAATTGTTCAAAGTAATTTATGAAGAATGGATGGAAAATCTCAAGTGACTAAAAGAAGAAAGTTCACACACCCAACCCCAAATATTTGGGTGAATAAAACTGGCTAACATAATCATTTTTAGATGTACTATTTATGCACAAAGCACTGGATCATAAAATTCTATTAAATTTTGATTTTAGTGTATTATTATGATAAATTTGTTTCTCATAGGACCTCCTTTTTCAAAGTTTCCTTAGTTTTAATGTACCCATGCTCAAGTTTTGCTTCAGGCTTCACCGTCATCGCACTCGCTGTACCATCTGCGAGTGTATTAGGCTTCGTTTGGGACAGCTTTCGTGCTGCTTTTTAAAGTGGCTTTCTAGTACAAATTTCTTTGGTTTTAAAATTTTTTGTCCTAAAACCTGTCTTAGAAAGCGGTAAGAAAGCTGTCCCAAATGAAGCTTACTTATCGTGCTTGCGGTGGCAACTTCCACAATTGTGTTTTCATCTTGTTGTGCTCCTGACTACATGCTATTTAAATTACGCAGAGAATTGGATCAGAAGTTAAGGGATGCTTTTCACCTTTTTATTGAGGCACGTGGTGTAAACGAGAGCCTCTTCCGATTTCTCCAAGCCTGGCTTTATGTAAAAGACCATCGGAACCTCATGGGCTGGTTTAAGAGCGTGGGAACTTTCATCAATGAACAAAAGAAGCCTTGATCATAGTTGATTTAGCTTTCGCTTGGGAGGTCTTTCTTACTTCTTAAAGCAGCTTTTTAGTACAAAAATTTTAATTTTTTACTAAAAAACTGCTTTAAGTAACAGTAAGAAAGCCGTCCCAAGCGAAATCTTACATTCCAAGTTTAATGTGCTTATCAACTTCGGACCGTCCGGAGGCGAATCTGGATATGCCACGTCACCCAGATGCACGGGCCCCGGATGACGAGTAATTTTCCCTTCCATTGAGGTACTTGAGTTACTTTGATGCCTCTTTCTCTCCATTTGTTTTCCATGCCTGTGCAAGTTTTCTCGCTTTGTAATAGCTATTTTGTAAAAGTGCACTGGATGAGAAATTTGATATTGTTCGAATAAAACTTGTTAATGGCTGCTTATTTACATAATTAATATTTAATTTCATATATCTTATGTATTTTATAAATTTTTTAATATTATTAGTGGTATGAATATTACATTGCAAATATCAAATAAATAATTAGATGGATTTTTTTTTTTCTTATTGAAACATGATTTTTATTAGACAATTTAAATAATATTTAGTGAATTATGTTCATTTTTTATTGAAATTTATGATTAAATTATATTTAGTAATAAGATTGTATATTTAAATTATAAAAATTAAATATATAAAGAGCTCCAGCGGTGGTCGAGGAGGAGATGATTCTCCCTTTCCCCTTTCTCTTCTTCTTCTCTCTCTTCACTTCCTTCCCCCTTGTGAAGAATGAGGACTCTATTTATAGTTTTTCTGGATGACATAGCTTGTAAATAGGTGTGAGATCAGGGGCGAATAGGGAGTGGTCGAATGGACGGTTGATGTTGAACCCTTCGATCGTGCACCGTTCGTGGGACATTTGAAGGTCTTATTGATGTAGGAATTCGGCGATCTTGGGCTCGTTGAATTCGTCTTGTCGAGCCGTTCGATTCGAGTATAAGCTTGTTAAAATCGTAGATCGTTTGGTAACTCAAATTGTGGTTTGAATCTTCCAACAGCGCTTCGGGTCCTTGATTTGGACTAATTGGGGCTCAGATTGGGTTGAATTTGGTGTCATTGGGTTCGTGTTTTCGAGACGCTCAGTTTGACTATAAGCTCGCTGAAATCGGAGTCCAGATGCTCCTGAATTTAATCTTTGAAGTTTACACCTAGCTTTTTGCCTCGAGATTTGTGCCCGATCAAGATAAATTTGTGATGATGTATCAATAATTAAATTAAAAATATTGCTATATTTAATTTATCTAAAATGAAATATATTTTTTTAGGTATATATTGATATGATTTTGCTATTATGATGTTATATTAAATTGAGGGATTTGATAAATATTATCTATTTTTTTATATTTAATTATTTATACATATAATATTTAAATTTTAATATTTACTTACACAATGATATGATCAATGAAATTTATATTTTCATGCTTAAATTTTAATGTTATTTAGATATAATATGTTATGAAGATAAATAATTTAATATTTATTCATATAATGTTATAATAACCAAATTAGATAAAAAAATGTTATCTAAAGTGAAATAAAAATTTATCTGCTTAAATTTTAATGCTATTTAGATATAGTATGTTGTTAAAATTAATTTGAATTTAGCTATTTGGTATATAAATAAATAATTAAGTAGTATTGTATAAATAAATTTTTTGAGTAAATATGAAATATGAAATTTAAATGGTATTTATGTAAATATGTAAAAAATTACAATATTTTTATAAAATCTCAAATTAAATAATGTTTTAAATGATTAGTCAGCATTAGGCTGATCGCTATGGAAACACCCGTCTCGATCGAACGGGTACACGTTGCATCACCACGGACTTGAGTCGCCGGATTCATTCCGATTATGGCTCTCAATGATTCCGCCGCGGCGATCGAGAGCGAGATCGGCGGCCGAAATCTAGATTTGTTCCTAATTTTAACGGATATATATCACCTTTTTGGGGGGATTTTGTTGGCGGCCGACAAGCGGGAAATCTACCTGGAATCGCGAGCTCGTGTACTGTGAGAAGAGAAAGTGGGGGGAGGAATAAGAATGGTGGAGAAGGAGATCGACTCCGTGGAGCTGCCAGCCCCTGCTGGCTGGAAGAAGGTCGGATTTCGATCCTTGCTAGGTTTTTTGCTCATCCAGCCATTCTTTTTGCGATAATTTATAATTACGTGCATATGCCCTAATTTGACTTCTGCTTACTTACGAACTAAGTTGTTGGCTCGCCTCCTAGGGTTTATGAGATTTTTTTAGTGGAATTTTTTGTTTCCCTCCATTTATTCTATTCCGCTTTTAGTTTCTCTGCATTTATTATTAGTTTTCGGGAGTTGACCGTAGTTTGGCTTTGTTTGAAGAGTAATTGAGACCAAATTGCTGGGTGATGGCGTCCTACTTGTATGAACTGGGGCTTTATTAGTTAGTTGATTGACGTTTGTTTTCTAGGCTAATAGAATTTTTCATCGAGCGTTAAGCTTGCTTCCGGATTACGCACAGTATCACTCGTGCAGTATGTAGAATCTGGTATATGACATGATTAACTACGGAACATCCATTGCAACATCCGTTATATGCAGCTGTTGAAGTTGATGTTCCATTGTTACAAAAATTAAATTGAGGGTTATGACATGACTTTTTTTGTTGTAACTTTACTTATAACATACTGATGATCATCGTGTTATGCTATTTTTATTATCATCGTTACAAAATTCTGCTGCATTAAGCCGCAATTGTTACACATAGAAATACTCGTGCTATTCATATTGTTTTGCCTTAATTTTTTTTTATTTTTTTTGAATTACAATCATAGATGTAGTTACTAGGGAAGGGGGAATGGAATATAGAATGTAGTTGGGAAAAAATAAAGAATATCCATAGACTTTTATAGAATTTGATGATTAACAATGAAAATGATAGGTTCATGAAAAGTGAAGACATCAAGTAAAAAAAATCAGAATGATACCTTGGAAAACGATAAAACCAGAGTTATTAAAAGATTAAGAAGAATGCTATGAGTAGGTCACACAGAATTTTATTGATTGGTCTAAAAGAGTGTTTTGAAAGACTTATAAAGGTGAATGTTGAAGTTAGCATCTTCTTTGAAATTTGGAGAGTTATCGTGGTAGGTGTTCGAGTTGTTTGATTATAAATATTTTCATAGCAATCTTGAAGTGTTAGAGGATGCGCGATGATTTAAGAATAAACTTTTGTACTAGTTTTTTAAGAACAAAAGGGATTTTAAGGATTATTGTAATTGTAGAATAACCAGCTTATGCATCATACACAGAAATTAAATGTATAGGTTAATGAAACAATGGCTTTCAAAGCCACATGCTGGGATCAACAATTTTATTTTATTTTATTTTTGAAAAAAAAAAGTTTATAAAATTCTTTTATGCGAAAGTGATTAGTTAACATGTATATAACTATGAAAAAAATTTGTATATGATTCATAAATGCTAGTTTTAGGTTGATATGCATCAAAGGGAAAAGCGATTTTTTCAAGAGTCATTGCAAAATTAAATAAAGGATCAATAATAAGTTTGCATCCATTGGTATTGGTTGTGATATATTTTTTGAATCAAGTTATTTCATCATATGTTATTTGAAAATTACATAGTTTTGATAGTTATATTTATCTTCTACAGAAAGTATTAATTTATAACAATTGAGGAATTTATTAAGGATGAATATCAAAAAGTATTTTTATTAGAAGAGGGGTATTCAACATAGTTGGATGAGATATTTCAATAAGCTTTTTAATGAGAATTATGAGAATACAACATACTTTAGTGACCTTAGTATCCTAAGTGAAAATATAGATTTTTGTTTTTACCATCGTATTAGTAAGACCAAAGTTAGAGAGACTTAAAAGAATGTAGTATGGAAAAGTAGTTGGACCTGATGATATTCTAATAGAGGTATGAAAATGTAGGAGGTGAAAGATATTCTTGGTTTACTAAATTTTCAATGTTATTTTGAAGACTAAAAAGATGCTATATGAGTGGAGTGTGTTGGTACCTATTTTTAAGAATAAAGGTGATGCACAATAGTGTGCGAATTATAGCGGAATTAAGTTAATGTTTCATACATTACAACTATGGGAGAGAGCAATTGAGCCTAGGTTACTACGTGATACTAATTTTTATCAAAATCAATTTGGATTCATGCTGGTTTGGTCTAATATGGAAGCTATACATTTATTGAGAGGTTTGATGGAGAATTTTAGAGCTAATAAGGAGGACATACATATGATATTTATTGATTTAGAGAAAGCATATGCTAAAGTTTCAAGAGAAGTGCCGTGGAGAGTTCTAGAAAAGAAAGGAGTTAATAAAGCTTATATTATTCTGTAGGCGAAAAAAACTTATTTCTAAGCTTAGTATGCTTCATGATTTCTTATTTCATTACTTTTGAACAAATTGGTATTAATATTTTCAAAATGAGTAACATCTATATCATTTAACTATGGACGACCAAAGCCAAAAATATATATATATTTTTTAATTATTGAAATTTATCCCAAATATTTTATTTTTGTATGTTTGGCGCAAGTTCAGGGAGCCAAGAAACATGCTAACCTCCATATAAGCAGCTTAAAGGAGCATATCACATGAGTTAGAGTATGAACCCATAACCTTTTCCCTGGGAACTAGGGAGCATGTCAGCTAAGATAAAGCTCACTGGTACCCAAGATTATATATTTTATCTCCATAATCAAAATATTATGCTAGATTTATCAGTACATGTAGCAAATTAAAATGTAGTAAATATTTTTATGTAATAAAAATGGAAACCTTGTTTGCCCATGCCATTTTATATGGTTGCGAATTTGATTCATATTAAAATTTTATATAATCAGTAGTCAATGTAGCTACAACATTTATGCAATTTCCTCTATCTAAAGATATGGTTATAGATTTTATCCTCATTTTTTAAATAAACTTGTGGTTTTTTTTTCAGTTTAATTCAAATTTAGATGTAGCAATAATGCATCTTTGAGTATTTGAAGAATACACAAATTTAAGATTTTAAAATCATTTATTTTTTGATCAAATTCATGAATGTCGTCTCCTTTATTGATTCCTTATCATCTATATTTTTGCATAAAAATATAAATTTGTACCTCGACATTCATTTGCATTATGACTAAAAGAATAAAAATTAAAAAAAAAAATCATTTGCATTATGACCAATCTGTTGCATTTAAACTAATGCTTTTGCAAAGGTTTTAGAAGACGTACTAGTCAAAGGTTTTACTTTATTATCCTTATTATTACTAATGGTATTACTATATTTGGATGGAGTAGTTCTAATATTTTTGAGATAAAGTATTTTAATGATATGACACTTTTTATTATGTATATGGATTAAAATCCAAAATAGTCCCCCTCCCCCCTTCTTATTAGTATGTAGCCAATCTAGTTGTAGATTATCATATTTGTTCAATTTAGTTACTCGATTATATAAAATTGTTCCAAAATGGTCCCTTTGGGATTAAATCGGGATCAATTTTGTATCACAATTTCTACATTAGGGAAATTTTTTTTATCAATTTTGTATGATCAAGGGCTAAGTTGGCAAATTTGATACTCTAAAATTAAATTTGCCATATGAATTGTCGGGGGAGTCTTGGAGATTTAATTTTTAGATTGATCTCTAATTAGTTGGATGTTTAAATATTACTCAAAATTTAATGCAAGTTGGAAAGCTTTTTCAATTGTTACAATTATGAGGTGTTATATCTTTTTAATATTAGATTGCAAGTCAAACTTGAAACTAGATACTAGATAGTATTGTTTTGAGATCCACTACTAATTAGAACACATCATTAACTCAAATAAATTCATACATTCAATAATTGTTTTCATTTCTTATTTTAAAGCATTAAAATTATTAAGCAAAGAATTATGAAATGACAAAGTGGTATATTCTCTTTAAATGTAATGTCTCATTTCAACACAAGTTGTTTTAGGTTCTCTACCAAGCATTTCTCGTTTTTTTCCATGCTTATCTAACATATCAGAGCTTGCCCTATTAATATTCACTTGTAAATCTTACTTGATGCTCATCAGATATGGTGTTGTTCAATGAAATTATTCTTTTCTATAACCTAATTTAAAAACACTATGATTCTCCCATCAAATGAGGATGATACTTCATTTTCTTAGTTATGTCAGCTAAATCATACCTCTGATGTCTATTATTTCCATAGATTTCGTTGTCATGTACTATTTTGTTTATGTCTACCTTGTTGATGTTGTGTGGTTTAATTAGGTTAACATTCAAATTGAACTATTTATTTAAGAAGTCAATATCTTGTTCATTAGGTTGATAACGAGTAGTTTTCAAATTTTCAATTCTTTGTTGAACTTGATTTTATCATGCTTCTTTTAGTCTTGTTTCTATATAAACTCATTTAATTATTTTTTCATATTTTCTAAAAGTACATCCTTTTGACGACCTTAATATTGAGCCCAACTTCTATTTGATATAGTAACATAAGCTTAAGCTTTGATATCATCAAATATTAGTTTAAGGCATCTTAGGGTTTAAGATTTCCTATGTATATATAAAATATAAGACGTAGAAAATTGTGCAACACTCTCAGAATTCTTATATCACAAACTCTTAGCATTTGACAATTTAAACCAATTTAAATGAGTCTTATTGCATTCCCTTACAGGTAAGGTTAGAGATTCAAGATCTAGAAAATCATGGAACACTTAGAAATTCATATATTTGTTGAAAACTAGACTGTATCAAATTTGATTAAAATTAAGCATACATTCAAACCACAAATAAAATATGGAAGAAAATATAAGACTCTAAAGGAACTCACCAAAATGAAACAAGCTACTTGCTTGTACGAGGAGATGACCTCTCTCAAAATCTATTAATAAAGGAATTGACTTCTAGAAGTAGCAAAAATAGCATATGCAATTAGAATGTCATTCTAATCCAAATTTTATTAACTAGAATGCTCCAGACCCTTATTTATAAAGAAAGGTCCTTGGAATTCTCTTCTACTAATTACAACTTGAGAATTCTCTTTCTCCAGTTATATCTCTCATTTTTTGTCCGTCATTCCTGTTACAAAAATTTTT